AGTTCAGTTTGTAACGATGAGTCCAAGCCATCACCGTTAAACCAGCGTGCGCGCGAACCAACCCATGAAGTAGGAGTGTATCGACAGTAGAAAGGGCAAAACTTCGCTATATAAACCGCAACATTTCCTCATAGAGGCAGAATCGTTAGGTGTTGACTGAAGGTTCTCTTCTTCCCTACCCCGGCTTGTGAACGTGTTGAGTTCACAAGTTGTTTCGTCCCATACCGCCGTACCCGAACCGGAGAGCGTGTTGAGCTCTCCATTACCCGTACTCCGAAGCAGTCGTGTTGAGACTGTCGAGGAGTGTCCTATTAACCCGAATCACTTAAGGGACGTGTTGAGTTCCTTTCTTTTCTTTGTACCTATCGTCCGCTGTTATTAAATCGACACATCGTTCACGTAAAATTCCGAAAACACACTCGATCGCCGATAAGACTAACTTCATACGACAAGGTCAAACTTAATTTGAATAAATAGGCCAGGTACTGAGAAGACTAAACTAAATTGTAAATATGTACATAAGATTTTTGTCAATTTAATTTAAGGAAGACAATAAAGTTTTATTTTTATTTTGAACTCTGTCTCTGTCCAAAAGCTACCCGGATAGTGACTCCTACGAGAGGACGTCACAAGTTGAAAGACTCGTTCATTAGAACTATTTCGATGGTGAACTACACATCCCTACTTTAAAATATTACGATTTAAGCCAACTTTCTTTAATAAAATGTTGATATTAAAAAAGATACAGGGTGTTAAAGCGGAAATTTAAAATTTTATTTTTCGCTATAACTTTCATGTTTGTAAACATTTATGTATAAAAATTTACAGCTGGGTACTATTTAATATCAGAAATTATAATTTGATGCATACTTTGATATAGCTAATAGAGGGCGCCACATATGCCACATACGTGGCATACATTTGCACTTAACCCATTCATGCCCAGAATTCCCTAGTGATTTTTTGTGTGTAATATTTTAGTCACGGAACTTCTATGGTACTTTAAATGTAAAAATGGTATTAAAAATCATAACAGTATCTAAGTGCCAAAATGGCAGCCTGGCAACTCTAGTTGCCACTGAGATAAAGCGGTGTAAATATAAGAATAATAAAAAACATTAGTATTTATAGTATTTATTTATTTAATGCTGTTATAACATCAATTTTAAGTGTGAAACACTTTAAAACAGTTGTCAGGTTGTAAGGCAATATCACATTTAATACAAAAATAGGATGTACGATTGCCACAGATCTTACAACGACGATACTTGGACGCACCTTTCTGAATAATATGATCAGTGTGGTCTTTTCTTAGTTCTTGAAGTACAGGTGAAAAATTCAATGACGTTTTGACTCCAAGTATTTTTGGAAGGGTACCAAATGATTTTAAAAGGTACACTGTGCATTGGCGCCTAAAGTTCAACAATGATATGTCACAACCAAGTCGGCGATATAAAAGCCAACCTTGTACACATGCGACATCTACAGCCCATGAAAAAAAAGGCCACCACCATTTTTTTGATCTAATTCGGCACCGGTAAGAAGCCACGAATTGATCCATTATATCAACGCCTCCCATGTTGCTGTTGTACCGTTCAATAGGACCTGGAATATCGATTGTGAACTTTTTCTTTTCTGCACGAGAATATCTATTAGCCTTTTTTATCGGATAGACTTTGTCACAATTGGTAAGCATTGTGACAACGTTATTATCATTCCAGCGAACTAGCAAAAGATCACCAGACGAAGAAGTAGCCAAGTCACCTCTTTGTTTTTTTTTTCACGCACTTTTTTCTGGAAGTTTCATTGCGGCATTACATCGATTTTCACGTAATGTTCCGGTACCTCCAATTTCTCTGAAACTCAATTCTTGCAACAATGCAACCGACGTAAAAAGATTATCAAAATAAAGTCTATTTCCTTTTTTCAATTGCACGTGATCAATTAAACCTAGAACAACATCACCACCTTGTCCTAGACCAGTTTGAGGAAGGCGTGTGGAAGAGCCACAATACGGTTCAACAGGATGGATGTAACCCGAAGGATCGGCAGCTACCCACAGTTTGTACCTAAATCTAATTGGTTTGCCCCTTATAAATTGTTTACTTCCATGTCTCACGTAATAAGGAATTATACTCTCATCGATGCTTACAGTGGGACCAGGAGTAATTTGCTTGAATGCAGAATTTAGCATATTAAACAAAGGGCGAATTTTATACATTCGATCAGTACCGTCATTGGACTGATTGTCGGCGAGATGAATAAAACTCATAAGTTCATCGAAACGATTTCGTCTCATTGCATTTGAGACTATTGGTGTGTGAACGTCATCGTCTACGGTCCAGTAAAGCCGCCTGCAAGGCAGTGGGTGATATCCCGATAAGAGCATAACCCCAACAAACGTTAAAATTTCTGCCGAAGTAGCGTTAAGGTTGTGTACTAATTTTTGCCCTGCATAAGAATTTGTTTCGCGAACAATGTGCTCTATTGTATCTTGTGTAAAATAACACCTAAATGCGTCAATCGGGCTCTTAATTGTTTCTTTCAAAAGATCCTCTACATTAGGACGGTATTCGACATCTGGTTCAGGAACCTTTGAAGTAAATTCAAAAATATTTGATTTCCATGTAGTTGGATTTAAACGTGGCCGTTTGGCAGATTTAGGACATTTGAAAGCAGATGGTTGAGAAATACGAATCTGCCGAGAGGTACTCGGTTGGGAAACATTTTCGGTATCATCAGCAGCTTCAATTTCATGACTGTACTTCACACATACTTGAGAGCGCAGGATACGAGCTGGAAGATGGTTGATATCGCCAGCCACTTCTTCATCCGAGAAATCGGAATCCTTGTCTGTGTCTGCGTCTGGAGGTTCTTCAGGTGGACAAATCGATATATACTCAGGCATTTCATTATCTTCTTTGAGAGCTTCAAGAAGTTCGTGAAAAAGTAACTCCTTGCCATCTCTTCCTCGTACATACCTGAAAATATCACATGATAATCCATATTCCCAGTGGCAACTCAAGTTGCCATGCATTTTTACATATGTATATTGAAAAAAGTAAATGACTGACTGTTGATGGATACTGGCTGAATGACAATTGTCCAAGCCAAGGAAAAAAAAAAAAAAAAAAAAAAACAATTATTGTTAAAAATGACGACAAAAGCTTTCTATTGAAGACAATAAATCATTTGTTTGAAAAAATACATTTATATATTTGTATACTTACATAGAACTGTCGGCGGCCATGAATATAATTATACACGTACAACACCACTATGCACACTATCGATACTAACTAATTGAATGATAGATACAAACTGTCGCTAATGTCGCTTTGCGGAATTTGTTAGCCGATAACCCCTTCCATCTAATTTAACTGCACTCTGCGAATAAGAATGTCGGAGAGGAGAGAGGGAGACATTCATAGGCGTGGCAACTGTAGTTGCCAACGGGCATGAATGGGTTAACTTTTTTGTTCTTCAAGCTACCGGTATTTTTGATAAAAAATATTAAAGATACATTATTTTAACAAAAAAAAGGTATACTTGTTAATAACTTCAAAACTCAACAGTTTTCGAGATTATCGCATTTTACAAATCAAAATACCTTTAATAAAGTCAACAGTTAATGAAATATTAAATAAAATAAATATATCAGCAGGATAATTAATAATAGGATTTGATAAAATAACAGAATAATTGGATTTTGCATCAAACATTTTACGTTTTGTATTAAGTTAAAGTCATAATCAAAACATTTTATTTACAAACCACATTAAAAAATAGTCAAACTACTTTCTATCGACTTTCTACCTATAAGAAGATGCCTAATTTTTTGTTGACATCTGGACGCATATCTGCTCTTGGCGTTAGAATATGTGCCGGAAAGGTTAATGCCCCTTCAATCACTGCTGGTCGAATTTGAGTGAGATTTTTTTATAGTGAGTATTTATATTTTTATATTTTATATTATATATGAGTGTGTTTTACTTACGGTCCATTAATGTTCATGCAGTTGTAAGATTAATTTTTTAATAATTATTTTTATAGAGTTATGAACATTATTCTTGTTTTATTAAGATGAAATAAAAAGCTTTTTCGAGACTCAAGAGATTACAGTCCGAAGTATTTATCATTTTTTTGAAAATTTAGAGTAATAATTATATTAATTTACGTTTTACATAATCTTTTATTTCAATTTATCTAAAGATTGTAATCTGTTTAGCGATAAGTTTATTGACGATAATATATATGTATCACCTTTTGTATCTTTGAGTATTGAATAAATACACTTCTTGAAGTTTACTATTTGATTGAAGATATATTTTTTTTATTATATAGGTAAGCGGGTTAATATTTACAGAGTACCGAACTGTAAACTTATAAATAAATATATTTATATAAATTCGAACCGCTCGTTTTATTTAATCTCGCTACAATATTAATAGTTTAGATTGTTCCTTTTGTTTTAATGGAGATTTAAAGCTTGATTAGTTTAATTTGCGTCCTTTATAAACCTTAGATTAAGATTTATTTGTGCCCTTTATTATGCAGTTCCTAGAATTCAGTATTTCTTGTTTTCCTTTTGTAAAAAAGTTACCTAATTGTTATCTATCTGTTACTTTTCTATCAGTGTCATCCTTACATACCCCACTGAAGTACTCAATTCTGAGCAACGAGTTATTTGTAAAGTTTTTGTGTACGATGAGCATATTATCACCTGATCTTCTTTTTGGCCACCTGAGCTGTTATTCATGACAGCTTTATATTTAGCTTATATAAATTTGGAAAATAAGGGGTGGTTTTCACCCTAAAAAATAATTAGCACATATTGGCATATTGACATAGGGTGGATTTTGAAGTGGAGGATATATTGAGCTTACCTACAAATTTTCTAGCAAATTGATGCATAAAAAATATGGTTTTCTACTATTTTTACAGTCCTATCCTAGAGCCTAAACTAAAGTCTGACTGTCATGAAATGAACAAAAATTGTTCTACAATACAAAAATGTATATTACAAAAGTTGGAAGTACAAAAACTTACAAAAAGTAATATCAAAACATTTTTTATAAAATGAAAATGATATGAAAAATATGTAAAACTTTAATTACACTAAAAATTTACAAATTCATCCATTTTTATTAATCTTAAAGTTAAAAAGGGGATAATTCCCTGGAGTTGGCTGTATACCATAGTTAAAATACTCTAACATTGAAGTAAAACACTTCTGTTGTAATAGGCACATTTAATTGAAAATTGAATTTTAAAAATCAAAAAGGATTACGTTAAAAACGTTTTCGGACTTGTACATGTAGTAAAACTCATTCAAGTAGAGACTTACATTACCGGTTGGCAATCTAATAGCATCGGCATTCTGCCATACAATTTAACCTGTAAATGTGGTTTTATCAATTTAAACTCAACCAGTGTTTGTTCACTGAAGATTGACTGGCAAGTCAAAAAACGTTTTGAATTTTTAATTAAATATATTTTGATTAATGTGTAAACACAAATTTGACAATTGTGTAAGCTATCACCTTTTGGAATACTCACAGAATTTAACACAAACATGATCAACAAGAGATCAATTGTTATTCCATAGTTTGTCGTCTAAATATTGCTTTCTTGTTCTTCTCCTAGCGCATATCCATTACCAAATGTCCATAAGCAAATCTATGAGGGAAAATTTTTCATTTTTTTGATTTGCGGAAAGTTATTCTATATAAAATTCAGTGTTTACAATTATTTCTCCTTATAGTTTTAATTATTTTATCGTCATTATTACGATAATAGTTTCATCATTATTTTTTTGAAATTTTTCGGTATTTCCTGTATACATTAAATATATTATAATATTTGTTCTGTGATAGTTCAATTTTTATATGAGTTTTCTTTGATTTTCCTCTTCATTTGAGTGTTGATGCATACATATTCATTTATGGGTTTCTGCGTTCAATTTCAGGATCTCTTTTTTACATTTCGGTTTTTACATCAAGCATTTTTCAGTCTATTGTTTGGATCTGTTTACTTAGTAGCTTATTCAAAAATTTCGATTTTTTGTTTTATGTGTTTTACTCAGGTGAATAAGAAGCTGAGCTCCGTGCGCAATAAAATGTACCCAATTGTCGTGTTTTTAAGATCACAGCTAGTAATATCAGTTCAAATTTAATTAAATCTAATATTTTCCACATTCGAATGTATTATTTACAGCTACTCTCTTCAATATGAGAGCCAAAAAAGTCGTATCTAAAAACAGATACAGGAAACTGTAGAAAACGGAGAATATAGAGAAGGAGAATCACTGTAGATTGCTTTTCCAGTAAAAGCGAAAATTTTTCAAAAATCTCTTAATAAACATTAGTTTACAAATATTTAAAACGTGTTTACAAAACCCATATTTATACTATTTGCATTCTCTTAATATTAATTTTGGAACTACTTTCCAGCAAATTTTCTTCGTCGGAATCACTTCTCAACGATTTTCTTTCTTCGGAGCTGCCGTATTTTTTGTATATCTCCTTTGATCTGTTGTTCTTTTTACTAAGTTCAATTTCGGAGCTTCTTCTAGCTTTCTTGTACCTATTTTCTCTAGTTTTAGTCTGTTTACTTTTGTGTTTTTCGTCTTCAGTCTTTTTCAGGTTTTTTAGTTCGTAGTCCAGGTCTTGAGCGTTGGCTTGAACAGCAACGTCGATGGATGTTTTGGACTGTCTAGAGCCTCGATTTTTGTCATTGCAGACGGAATTTCCAGAGTTCAAGGAGCTCTGGACGAGCTGTTTGATTTCTGGATAAGAGGAACTGTCGCTCTTCATGTGGCAACTGTCTGAGTCTTCTGAATACTTTTTTCTTATTGTCTTAGACCTCCTTGACCTAAAAAAAACGTTTTCAAATTAATTTAAGTAAGGCATTAAAAATACATAATTAAGAAAAAAAAACTTTCCACTTGCAATACCATTAGATATGCGCGTAACTGGCATAACCCACCTCGTATTGCTCGACATTACTAGATATTTTATATATAATAAATTAAACAAATGATAATGAATAATTCAATAAGTTTCTTCTAAGAATAGGAAAATACATTGATAACAGGTGGCAAGTCAAAAAGTGGACGCAAATAGTTTTAATTTAATTATTAGTAATTAATTTTTGAAGAAAATTTTTATTTCGTTCATTTGTTTTTAAAATAAATTAGTTGTGCTCTTTCTCGCGTTCGTCGTCATAATGAAATCATTCTTATTCCGAAGTATAATCCTGTTTCTATGAGCTATATGGTTTTAAAGTATATCAGTAGGTCGCTAACCTGGCTGTACACTAGGGTAGAGCGAATTTTTTTTCATAATTATCTAAAGCCTATGTGTAGAAAAGTTGACTACCAGTATTCACCAAAAAAAATCTCAGGTCAATCCACCTAAAACTTCTATTGCCCAAACCGCTTTGAAAATTGAACATTTCCCTATACTTATATATATATATATATATATATATATATATATATATATATATATATATATATATATATATATATATTGGATTTGAAGTTTCCGCGGGAGCTATATGTGATTTCAGTTGTTTTCCGGGTTTGACTCCGCGTTAAGTAATTTTGGTTTTTAGAAAAACCATTGTTTTGACGACGTTTCGGCAAGGTCACACTTGCCATTGTCAAGTCAGATTAGTTCTGCTTCGTCTTGATGTTTCAGGAGAACTTCAGGAGTTTCAGGAGAAGAAAGGACAAAAGCTCGATTTGAGCTCAAGAGAAAAGATAAAGAAGACGGTTCTGAATTGGTATATGGAATATGTTTTGGTGGAAGAAAAGACCAAACGTTAGTTCAAACTGGTGAAGAAGGAAGTTTGTCCAAAAAAACGAAGTTTGAGGAGCATATAGTCCTAGTTTCAGAACTAGGATCCAAATATATTGGTCATTTGACTCCTGCATCTGGCAATTCGCAAAGTATAAAGAAGAGCATTCTAGAATTTTTGGAGCATAATTTTGACGTTTCAAATTTGCAGGTAATAGGTTGTGATGGTACAGCAGCAAATAATGGTAATAAGAATGGAATTATTAGACAGCTTGAACTTTCGCTGAATCGATCCTTACAATGGTTTGTTTGCCTATTGCACGCAAACGAACTACCTTTAAGACATTTGCTGCAACATTTGGACGGAAAAACAACTGGCCCAAAAGCATTTCGTGGCGAGATAGGAAAGCAATTAGACAAATGTGAAACCTTACAACCTACAAATTTTAATATAATATAACATAATATACAATAATACCTATATGAAATTTGTAATGCCATTTCAAAAGGTAACATCTCTTTGAACTTGTCGAAAAGGAACCCCGGGAAAATGGCTCATTCCAGATGGCTTACGACCGCAAACCGGATTTTACGATTATATGTCTCCACAGCGAAACCATCACAAAATCTAACTACTCTAACAGAATATGTCATGAAAGTAATTGAAATTCTAAAATATCCATGCCACACGCAAGCAGTGGAAAGGTGCATCAAATTAGTAACAGAAGCGTCAGTTGCTGTATGTGGAAATACAGCAAGGGATGGATTTATAAGGGCACGAATTGCTTCTAGAGCTAGTTTGCCAGTATTCGAGACAAAAAGTCAATATCTTGAAGTTTTTAATGAAAATTAATCACAAAAGTACAAATAAGGGTGGGAGGACGGTGGAACTCGATATGCAGCTACCTCCACGCGGTGAGTTCTGGGTTATTTCCATCAAAAATTACGAATTTTTTATGTAAATAAGCGAAGAGCTGCATCACGGCATTAAAAAATATTTATCTTTATTTTTTTTTTAATTTCACGGTTAAATGGGCAGTAGAAGATGGCAATATTTTAGGTCACTTTTTTTTTCTAGAATAGACCATTATATTAGGCAACTTTTCCACATATAGGTCAATTGATTTAGGGATATTTTTTTTTCGAGCCAGTTTTCACTCCACCCTACTGTACACCCGCTCCTCCTTTATACGGGGTTGGGACCGGCAACAGTTCTGTAGAGCTACTTGATCCACTCAAAAGCAAATTACTGAGAAATCACTAGAGTATAATAGACCAGCATTTCTGTGTCTGACTGACCTAAAGAGAGCGTAAGACTCAAAGATGTAATCCATCTCCTGTATAATAGAGAAGCTCCCTAAATATTATAAAAACTATCGAAAACATCTTCCAAAACAACAAAATGGAAGTCAGAATAGATGGACAACTTACAGAACCTATAAAAAAAGGCAGTGGAATAAGACACGGGGATTCATTGAGCCCCTTGCTCTTTAATTTGATCATGGATGAAATCATCAAAAGCGTTAACATAGGAAGAGGATACAGAATGGGAAACAAAGAAATCAAAATACTGTGTTACGCAGACGATGCAATATTGATAGCTCAAGGTGAAGATAGTATGCAAAGACTGGTCCACAGATTTAACATAAGAGCAAAAGAATTTAATATGACAATCTCATCTGAGAAAACTAAAACAATATAAATAAACAATAGACTAGTTCAGCTGAATAAGTTCAGCTGAGAATTGCTCAGAATACATCTAAGTTTCATAAATGCTCCTCTTGCAATTTCTATACTTTATCCAACATCCTATTTTGAAGATCTTCGAAACTTTCAGCCATGATTGCGGTGTCATCTGCATATATGATGTTATTAATAGTTTCTTCCCCGATTCGAACATTGCCACATTGCCCTTCCAAGACTTTGTTAAAAATTATTTCTGAACAAACGTTAAACAAAGTTTTGGACAACACACAACTCTGTCTAACACCTCTTTGAATAAATTTTGTCTGTTTCTTTGTCGTCTACCAGAATAGAAGCTTCTTGATTCCATGTCCATTTCGTTTAGTATACCTTACTAAAGTTGTTTTCATAATTTTGTGATTTAAATCTAACTGCATTTATATGTGTTTGCGACAGTCACCTAAATGTTTTCAATATTAATATTCATTGTAGGTCATTATATAAGTAAATAAATATATTGTAGGTCATTATATAAATAACTAAATAAGTATAAGTAAAATAAATTGTCTCAATGATCTAATAAACTAGCATACAGCAAAGAAAATTGTCACTATACCTTCTGCTTGAATGTGAATCCCTTCCAGATCCTTTTCTGGACCTTTTCTCCTGCTCGAAGTCCTTGTTGTACTTATGACATTCGTCTGTATCACTAGATGTGTTTATTTCTTCGATATGTATACCTTCGCGAAGTGATTTCAGGGCCAGTTCATCGTTGAGGTCTAGGTTATTAACATTACTGAGTTTCATGTTAAAGGTGCTTTCTGATATGGTCACTGAAACATTTTCGTCTTCGCTGCCGCTCCTAAAAGCAATATATATATATATATATATATATATATATATATATATATATATATATATTATATATATATAATATATAATATATATATAGTATATATAATATATATATAATATATATATATATAATTATTATATATATATATATATATTATATATATATATATATATATATATATATATATATATATATATATATAAGAAAAAAGAAGTACTTGTGACTCGTTTGGAAAAAATATAAAACTGTTTTGATGGGTTGGAGTCAATAAAAAAGGGGCTATTTGTTGACTATTTTTTACTCGAGCTTTCAATTGTGATTACAATTATTATCAAGAGCTTCTAAAAAATACAAAATATCTTACAAAGTTGAACTAGAAAAAAAAATTTTTTGTAAACTCACCAAATAAAATTAGTTTTTTATATAAAACTGCTGCTTACATATTAATTACAAAAAATATTAATAAAAAAATGTCTTATTCTAATAAATGTTTCTCTGAAAAATTTTGATGAAGTTTCTTAACAAAAACAATTGAATTTGTAAACAAGAATTGAATAGCTACAAACCAGCCTAAATGTCATAAATACTAACTTAAAAATTTTTATTTTTGACATATTGTCAAAAATAAAATTTTGTTTCAAAAATTCTTATTTGTTTAGTAACAAAAAAGAAGAAGATTTATTCACCATTGATAGATGCCCGAAAAAATGTAACAAATACATGGAAAATTCAAAATGTGATATTTTACTGACTGCATATATAAATTACATAGAAATAATATAATTATAAATTTTGCTTAGATTTTGAATTTCTGACCTTTTGTTTAAATTATTATCACTTTTGTTAATACAAACCATTTCCAAAAAAGTTCTTTTAAATTTATTACTTTCACTACATAAAATTTTAATATTGTCAAAATCCATAATATGGTCTTTGTCTATTACATGCTCTGCCAAAGCACAAGATGGTTTATTAATTCTGCAATCACTCTTGTGAGAAATAATGCGATTTGAGAGATTTCTTCCAGTCTCACCAATATACTCAGCTTCACACTGAGTACAAACAATGCTGTATACTACATTTGTTTGATCTAATTTGTCTATAGGATATTTAGTTTTGGAATATAAAGATGAAATAGTTTTGATGTTCTTTGTTGCTATTTTTATATTGTCAATAACCTTTAATGTTTGTATTAATTTAGGAGTTAATGATGGTATAAAAGGTAGTGAATGATAATATATGTTTTGATTGTTGGATACAGTGTTTTGAGATTTAGCAAAAAATAGTAATATTTAGTTAGTTTTGATGTAACATCTCTTTTTACCAATTTACCTTTAAATTTAATCATAAGTAGTGTTGAAAAACATTGGAATGAGATTTCGCAACATACTAATATTGACTTATTACATTTTAAAACACTCATCAACTTTGTTTTTGATTCTAATATATTTATATTTAATGGTGTTTTTTATAAACAAATTTTTGGTAGCCCTATGGGATCTAGTCTTTCACCCATTCTAAGTAGCTATGTCATGGATGATGTTATTAGTGATTGTATCAATAATTGCACTTTTTTCATTCCATTTATCAAAAGATATGTAGATGATCTAGTTTTGGTACTTCCTAAACACAAAATTCTTGAAACAGTCAACATTTTCAACAATCATAATCAACATATACAATTTACAGTTGAGGAAGAGATAGATAATTCTCTACCATTCCTTGACATGAGAATTGTAAGAAATACAGACAATATGTTGAAAACCAGATGGTTCAGAAAACCCATATGTAGTAATAGATTTATAAGCTATTACTCAATCATCCAAATAAGATGAAAATGAACCTTATAACAGGATTAAAGGAACGTGTTTTAAAACTTTCTCATCCAGACTATCTACAAGAAGATCTTCATTTGTTAAAAAATATTTTAATTGAAAACTCTTATCCTCCAGATATGCTACATAGGATGCTTTTTTCTAATTTATTAAATATAAATAACTTAACACCATTTTTTGCTAAATCTCAAAACACTGTATCCAACAATCAAAACATATATTACCATTCACTACCTTTTATACCATCATTAACTCCTAAATTAATACAAACATTAAATGTTATTGACAATATAAAAATAGCAAAGAACATCAAAACTATTTCATCTTTATATTCCAAAACTAAATATCCTATAGACAAATTAGATCAAACAAATGTAGTATACAGCATTGTTTGTACTCAGTGTGAAGCTGAGTATATTTTATAGCATGTTTTACATGCCATCAATCAAGTTTTACTATTTTTACAACAAATTTTAAAAATTTTATGATGCATTATGTCCATAATTGTATATTTTAATGTGTGGTATAAATGTTGAGTGTCAATGCTTATAAAAATAATCTCAACGACTAGTAAGTTACACTGAAGAATTGTGATATTTTATATTTACATAATTGTCTTTTACAGTGTCTTGAAAAAGGAATAAAACCATTCCGAAAGCTCGACAAAAAGTCAAAAGAGTGTTTTTTTAACATCCCGGCCAATATTCTGACTGCAACCCTAATAAACTGTGTTGTTTGTTTATATCGACAGTCACACTAATATCCAGTATTTCTTGTATATATATATATCTATATACCTTTATTGAAATACCAACAATATTACATTACTTTAACTCAATAACAACGATCAACTTCAAAAACTCAAATACTACTGTTATTCCAACTGTCAACACAACTGTTAATACATTTATATATTCTGATACTTCTAGATATAGTTTGAGTTATATATTATAGTATATATAGTTTGAGTTCAGTTCTTGAACCTTAATATATATTTTTTAGTGGATGATTTTCTTGGGCTTAGGTTAAAAAAATGATTTTGATACGATATATTCATATATTTTTTATATTTTTTCGACGTTTCGGCAGCAAATCTATGCCCTTTTCAAGAAGTAATATTGACTAAAAAAACATTTTATCACAGACATAATACGGTTTAAAAGTTAAACTTTTGACTTACCAAGCATGTAAAAATTCGGTGCTAACAAGTATACATAGACGTCACAATTAAAATAATATTAAAAGCATAGGAAAGACCCACTAAGTCACTAGATGTAAAATGTATTTTAAATCTAATATGTTGTTTATTGATGTTAATTTATCGTTTAAACAATCAGTTATTTTAACATCATATGCGTTCTGAGATTGTCTTTTTATGTGTTTTTAAATTAAATTAAAATATATTTTGTTTAAATTTTTGACATATTCTTTATCGTTTATTGCGTTAATATTTTTTTTTTATTTGTATAGACTCTAGAAGCTCCCTCTTCTTCCTGTTATGTTAACTTTTTAGGATATTGGTTTTTTCAAAATCAAATTTTTGTTTTTTTTTTTTTTTTCGTTTTCATGTTTTGTGCGGGCGGTTGATTTTTTTTGGTCATAGTTGTGGGAACCTATTCTTGAGATAAGTAGCTGACTGGTTTGTCCAATAAAAACTCCATCACAATTAGAACATGGAATTTCATATACAACATGCGATTTTTTGAATAGAGGGGTTTTTGTTTTTATTCTTGTAAAATTATTTTTCAAAAGATTGTGCCCTCTATGAGCAATCGTAATGTTGTGTTTAGACAGAATATTTGCAATTTGTTCTGATAACCCTTTTATATAGGGGAGAGACCTATAGTTTTTCTTTACCGTGTTGGTTTCATTGTTGTTATTGTTAATGTAAAATTTATGCTGTCGCGATTTGAAAGTGTTGTCGATAAGGTGGTGTGGGTATGAGTTAAGTGTTAGTGCTGTTTTTGCTTTTTTGATGGCCTGAGGTCTATTGATAAGATCGGATAATCTAATAGCTCTATCGGCGAGTCCGATAACTACTGATTTCTTTTGAGACAGGGGATGATGAGAGTTGAAATTCAGATATCTCGACGACCAGGTTTTTTTTGGTGTACCATGGAGTAGTTATATTGCTGTTTTCTCTATGTAAGGTTAGGTCCAGAAAATTAATTTGACAAGTTTTTTCAATTTTTAATGTGAATTTTAGTTTTTGGTGTTATTGAGTTATTGAATTCATTTAGTAAAATATCCATTTTATCCTCTGGTGCTGCACTCAAGCAATCATCTATATAATAGTGTATTCTGATCTGAAAAACCTAAATGTCCATTAAATTATCCATGGAAAAGCAAAGAATTTTCTCGAAAAACATGTCAATATAATGAAGTTGGCCTATTTATGTGGTGGACTGTTCGAGAATATTCAGATATGGATGAAATCGAAACAATTCGAACATGATTTATTGCTAGAACAGTCTGGAACGATAAAAGGATATAAATACGAGGTAATTTGGAGCAGGCAGGCATTAAGTTAGTAGAATTCATTAAGTCAGTTACAAAGCATTAAGTAAGAAGAATTCATTAAGTTAGAAGAATTCATTAAGTCAGTCAGTCAGTTACGATTAAGTCATTAAGTCAGATACAGTTGGAGAGTATGAGAGTAAATTAATTCAATATAGATAGTTCAATACAGTGATAGTTAATTATTAGTACAGTAATACAGTGACAGTATGGAGTTAATTCATTAAGAAGTAAGCAGTATATATGGTGAGTGGAGATTATTAAGAAGATACATATTTAAAATTGTTGGGAGCCAATAATTAAAATATTTTGGTATATTTGGAAAAAGCAATTTCACAAATACAAGGATAACCGAGGCTGATTAAGAAGATATTGAGTGGTGATTATAACTTTAATTTTGGAAAACTTTAGGCATTCAGTGATAGAAAGGTACCAAATTTTGTTACTATAATTTAATAATTGTAAGAATTTCAAATTTTAGATAGGTTGTTTTAAATTTATATTAGATATATATGTCTGTTTCATAATAGTTATAATAAATATAATTTAAAAAAGTACTTACAAACTAATTCCTTGAGAACCGCGATAAAAATCCTACACACATATATATATATATATATATATATATATATATATATATATATATATATATATATATATATATATATATATATATATCCAGTATTAAAGAATGGAAGGGATATATAAAATAATCCAAATAAGTGTACCTGTGTGAAATAGTATTCCTAGAAAGCCAAGAACGCGCTAAGAGCAAAAATTTCGCTTACCTGCAGTTATTTATGTGACAAGGTATTCTAAGCTTCCCATTTGACAAGAGATTATTGATATGAGAGTCATCCAATCCAGCATTACCGGTGCGTCTATTCAGATTCGGCCTAAAGCTTTTGACATCTGCAGTGGTTGTTAAGGCGTTAATGATTTGAAGGTGAGAATCTAAACTAGTGCTACTCTCCCGTTTGGTTCCAGATTTGGATAGTCTTCTAGAAGTTCCGATATTCCTAGAGTGGCTTCTGAAATGTCGGCTGGATTTGTGCCTGCTTCTGTGTCTTCTGGAGTTCGTCTGATAACATCAAATAAATTTAAAACATTTGAAGACAATCTTAAAAAATGCAGAAAACTGTAACAATTACAATTAAAAATGAGTTATATATTCAATATACTGAATATAGTACAAGATCCCACTGCAGGATCACAATGTTGATACGTAATGGTGAATTCTAATATAAAAAGGTGTTAGGAGGTACTATTTTGAAAGTTTACAAAAAGTGTTTTTGTGAGCAGGAATTTATGGAAGAGATTCAAAAAGTGACAGCAAATATTTTTAATTCAATTAACCCAATAACGCCGAATTTTTAATGTATTAAAAAAAAATTTTTTTGTTTCTTATTACTTATTTTGCTCTTATTAATTTACAGATTAAAAAAAACAGTTTTTTTTAAATATTAGGTGTTTTTTGAAACGTTACGAAATCGTCACAAAAGTCCTTTGTTTAGAAATAACTCATGATTTAAATTTTGAAAAGTTTTGATTTTTTGCTTAATTTTACATACATAGTAATGCACAATATCGATATAAAAGACATAATAAATTTGAAAAACATCAATTTATTATAAATTAAATACAAAAATAGAAGTTATTATGTAGTGTGGAAATGTATAAAACAGTTCTTTTCCTTTGTAATGCACAGGTGTACTTTACATTTGGTGCACATATATACTGGAGCACTTCTACAATTGATATTTTTACACCTACCCCTATCTGTGACCATGGGCAAGTGATCAAGCCCATCTAGACGTATGTCTGCTACCGGAATACTTTTAGTGGCTGGACCTAGTTTCTTCTTTTTTGAAAATTCTGCATCTGTGCTGGTTTTTGATGGACGACCCCTTTTTGATTGTTGGGTTCTTTTCCCTTCCAATAGCAGTGCCTCTGCAATGCTCATTTTGAATTCTTGGAGATTAACTATGTTTCTTTTAGGTACCTGTAAGGATTCGCAGTCTCTTCTGTAAATGAGCCAAGAGTTTACCACAGTAACATCTAAAAAGTGAAAAAACAATTTGTGATAGAACTTTTTAGATCTAATATGAATTCTGTAAAGAGCAATTAATGCATCCATTAGGTCCACTCCACCCATAAATTGGTTATAGGTTTTGACAATAGCTGGACAGGTAATTGTAATATTCTGTTTAGTCTTTTTGTCATATCGCTCGCATGTTTCAGTGGGTTCTGCAGACAAAAATGTTGATAGCAAATTGACTACCCGATTATCAGCCCATTTTACTGCTCTGACTTCAATATTATCTACTAGAGTCGAGACTTCTTGGAAGGATCCTTTACCTTTTTTTAGTAAATCTTTATCGTTGTTTAGAGGAACTCCCGATAAGCGATTTATCCTTACTGTTCCAAGGCAATAAATTTTCTTTTTTGCCAAATGCACCATCAGAGCTTGAGAGGTAAACCAATTATCGAAATATAGGAGATGATTTGCACCTACAGGAATATGAGTGGCTAATTGCAGTACCACATTGGAACTAGCTCCTAAATCTGGTTCTCCAGTTACTGGTTGGATTTTTTCAGAATATATAAAAAAAATCATACATAATTCCTTTCTCATCACAAAGAGCAAATAATTTGTAGCCCCATTTGTGTGGCTTGCTGGGTATATATTGTTTAATGCTAGATCTGCCTTTGAATGGTACTATCTGTTCATCAATACATAACATTTGAGGCATTGGAATTTCTCTAAATTTCGCCTGTAAATGATTTATCAATGGCCTTATTTTGAATAGTTTGTCATATGTGGTATTATCTTCTGGTATTGTCGAATTATCGTTAAAATGGATTTTGGATTTTATTTCTTCCCACCGATCCCTGGTCATTACTTCCGATACAATTGGACAGTTTAACTTAGTTTTCCAATACAATCTTGAGTTGGATAGTTTTACCATGGACATTGCCAATAAGGACCCTAAACATTGTTCCAATTCAGGAATTGACAATGACAGACTTTTATTGGGATTTTCTTGAATGGCATACAAGTTTGACTGCTCAACTATGCGAGTCAGAATATCTTCCGAAAAAAATTTCTAACATATTCCACGAGCGCTTTACAACTCCAGATGGCTCTAGTTGACCTAACCATATAGGAAGTGGTTTAGCAGAATCTTCAGTTGACACATGTCGCCAAAGTGGATAGGTTTTACGACTCTTTGATTTTAATGTTTCTGGTGCAGCTACTGTTTCTCCAGTGGCTTCACTTTCTTCAGTACTATCGTCAGATTAATCTATAATAAAAAAAGAGTATAAATGAGTCATTTCAAACTATAATACAAAGAGGCAAAGCAGTCAATACAAATGACTAGAAAATTATAAAAAGAACTATAAAAATAATTACCCAAATCCTCGAAATTAATATCAGAACCATCTACAGTATCTGTACTACTCTCATTCGTTAAGGGAAGACGTTTTTTGCCATAAAACGCTGCACAATCCATAATTATTTTGATCAATCTAAAAAAATCCAAAAGACGAGAGTGACGATTTCGTAACGCTTAAAATTTTCAATAAAAATACAGAAAAATAATTAATTTTAGCATATTACCTTCGCCAAACGATAATCGTCCTTCTAGAAGTATGTAAAAAAAAATCCAACGTTCATATGCTGCTTGATTCCAATTTATAACAATAAACACTCCACGGTATACTATAACCTAACTTTTCATTAGTGCACTGTCAAATAGAAACATCTCACGTGAATGTGCCGCGCGAACGTAATCAAAACGGGTTTGCTATATTTTCACTGAAATATAACGATACCGATCCCGTCGGCGTAGCCGTCCTACATGGGTTATTTTGTGCATAAGACCAGTGTTTATCAAACGTTACGAAAACGTCACGCTCAGCGGGTTAATAGGAATTAGTTTTTGACAAATATTTTATTTCGTTTATTAATTTGTTAAATAAAATACGCTGCTCGTGACGTATATGCATGTTTTTTATATCAAATTAAAGCTAATTTTTATCTTAATATGATGATATAATGCTACCTGAGAAAAAATATTCACAAATTAGGGTTGGGAGCTATTAAAACCTCGAAGTATCAAAGATAAAGTAAAATCAACGACACTGATATTGATAATATGTATATTATTACACTATCTATCGACACATGTTTTGAGTTTTGCGATGCATGCATATTTTATCGATGCATGCATTTTTGTTATGGCTGGCAATCCTAATTTGCGACCATTTTCTCACAGGAAACGTTATATCATGGTATTAAAAAATATATATTTTTTATTTGTTAAAGTAGCATGCATATGCGTCATAAGCTGGTGATTTTATTTAAAAAATAAATGAACGAAATAATATTTTTGTTCAAAAATTAATTACTATTATAGATATTAATTGAATTAGAAATATTTGCGGCTCCTTTTTGACTGGCAACCTATTATTAATGTAAAAAATGTAAGTTTGATTAACTACGTTAGGAACATAGTGATCCTACAGCAGGATCTTAGACTGACATAAATACGTAATTATTGCATTTTACTACCTTTCTGGTGGCCTTAAGTTCAGCTATCTGCACCGAAACCTGGCTATCTCCAGAATTCCTCCTGCTTTCGATACTAACATGTCTGAAGTTCAAACTGACCTCGCTATCCAACGAATGATTATTGCTTGACACGGAATAGGTCACTTCATTGGGCACTGCTCCTCTTCTGTTGACCAATCGCGGCAAATTCGCCGCCCATGTTGTACTTAGTTCGTTGCTAGCAGCGCTATTCAACTCGAATTGAAGACCAACAGGATCTGTATGATTCTGACAAAGTATGGAGATTTGACCTCCAGCGTTGAACTTTTTTCGTTTGGCAAAGGCCTGAGCTATGATCTTGTGCTTTTGGAGCTTCATAGGTTCTTCTATTTCACAATGAAATTTTCTAAAAACAAACAAAAATGTTTCTAACTCACGCCCTGTTTGGCCCTAGCGCTCTGTGAGTTAAAAATGATTCCACAGACTGTAAGGATTCTACGCTCTGTGAAACGAATTTACTTCACAGTTTATACGGTATTTATACGCATATAATTTGTACATGACCCGGTAGTTAGATTACTGAAATTAGCTTGCTGTTTTATATGAAAATTATTATCGTAATAACCGTTGAAAATAAGACGCCCAATTTCTAGTATATCATTATTTATTTTTACAAAAATATAATTAAAGTGATTTTTTTAACATGTATATAAATAATTGATTTAGGAAAGGACTGGGAACACGAGATGCACTGTTTGCAGTAAGTGTTCTATCGCAGAGATGCTTAGATATTAATCAGGAAGTATATGCCTGTTTCATTGATTTTGAGAAGGCATTTGACAGAGTGCAGCATAATCGACTTAAAGAAATTTTATTAAATAAAAACATAGACAGTAGAGACATTAGAATCATCTGTAACCTCTATTGGAATCAAACAGCAAAAGTGAAAGTTGAAAACGAACTGACCAAGGATATCCAGATTCGCCGTGGGGTCCGCCAAGGGTGTATTTTATCACCCTTGTTATTCAATTTATACAGTGAAGCCATCTCAGAATTAGCGCTTGCCGAGATCAGTGAGGGCCTTATAATAAACGGTGAGCCACTTAATAACATAAGATATGCTGACGACACCGTTCTTCTGGCAGGAACACTAGAAGAACTGCAACACCTTGCTGAACAACTAAATATATATTGCAACGATTATGGACTAAAAATCAATTTGAAGAAAACCAAGTTCATAGTATTTACAAAAGCACAAAACATCAAAGTTAAGCTAGTACTAGATAATACAGAAATTGAACAAATATCTTCGTACAAATACCTTGGAGCATGGATCACAGAAGATACTGATCAGACAAAAGAAATAAGATGCCGCATTGAAACTGCGCGGTCAACTTTTAATAGAATGAGAAAACTTTTTTGTAATCGCGATATAAATATATCGCTCCGGATAAGAATGTTTCGATGTTATATTTTCTCTACCCTTTTGTATGGAGTTGAAGCTTGGACACTTAAAAAATCCAACATTAAAAACCTAGAAGCATTCGAAATGTGGTGTTACCGACGCATTTTGAAAATATCATGGATGGATCGCAAAACAAACGAACAAGTTCTCGAACAATTAGGAAAACAATGCGAAGTTTTAAATTCCATAAAAATCAGGAAATTTGAATACTTAGGGCACATCATGAGAGGTGAAAAGTACGAACTACTAAGGAATATAATGCAGGGTAAGATCAAAGGTAGAAGAAGCGTAGGAAGACGTAAAATCTCGTGGCTACGCAATCTCCGTGAATGGTTTGGATGCAGTTCAATTGAACTATTCAGGCGAGTAACCAATAAAATTATAATTGCCAGAATGATTTCCAATCTCCGATAGGAGTGAAACTTGAAGAAGAAGAAAAAATAATTGTAAACTGTATATAGTTCTTAACAAATTAAATTTTCATAGATTTGTGTTGACACAAAAAAATGGGTCAATGCAATGTAATGAATTATCACACTTATACGGAGTCTACTTACTTTTCTTAATGGCATATTCTAATTAATTATTCATTATATTATTATATGATATACTTATTATATTAATTAATTCATAATTACTATCTATAAATAGTGTAAATATTCGAAAGGCATTACATGATAAGTGAGCAACAGATAGTTGTATAATATTAATACGATTACGTGGAAGGTTACACTGGCAATGAACTATTTCCAAAGATTAAGATTTACTTGAAAACTAAATAAAACAGAATCCTAAATGTGAACTTACCTTCGAATATATCTTCCCCAAGAATGTAGAGTAGCATCACACCAAACCCAGGAACCCATAGCTATACCAGATCCAAAGACTGCCAACAGCTGCAGTTGCAACATGGCAACACTGGGCCTCGTATCTTGTTTACAGTGTGTAGAATCAGAACTCAAGCTTGTCAGTTTACATCTGCAACAAGTTAATTAAAAGACACAACCCAACAAAATTATTGTACTTTTAACAAAACTTAAAAATAAATGAAAAAATAAAAAAACTATACTTACAAAATGTAATTCTGTAGACTCTCATGCCACTGCTTTGAATTTTCAAAGAGGTAGTGGTGATATCCGAATGTTATCACACAAAAGACAATCATAAATATAGTAAATACTCCCATTCTCACAATATTTGATCTAATTTTCCTACTAGAATGTTCAGATATAATTTCTCTGCTCTCTATTTTGACTTTGATCAAAAGAAGGAGTCCTAAAAACAAAAAGCAATTTTAAAAATCACATACAGCATAATTATGCACTTATGGTTTTTCTCAGACTCGCATTGCAGTCGTGACGTATTGTTGTGTTTTAGGCATGCCGAGTAATATTGCATGTAATCTGACAGCTGCCACGATTATATTAGCCAAATGTGCGCTTGTAAATAGAATTTAAGTGATATTTTATTTAAATTTTGATTAAAAACAAAAGTTTTGTATTTATTACTTTTGTATAAATTATTGTAAATTGGTTTATTTGAAAATAAATAATCGTTATTCCAATTTTAATTACATAGAATATCAACAAATATGTATAATTTATAATAATGTTTAGTTTTTATATAAAAGTCCAAGAACGAGCATTTACTTTTTAAAATGTTAGAATGGAAAGTTTCCAATTTACTAGTGGCGTACGGGAATGTGTATAAAAAGCAAAAAGACAAAATTTAGATTTTTCTTTTTTAATTAAAGTTTACAGATTTTTTTTAAATTAGCAACTTTAAGAGCAGTACAACAACAAAATGACAATTTAGGAAAAAACAAAATCAAGTATTTACTAACAAAACTGTTGTTTTCATAATATTGCAATGTATTAGAAAATATTGGTGAAGATGATTTTGTGTTCATTACTAAAAAGGACAACTTTACAGAACACATCAACAATATGATGAGATGAGACCAGCACGGAAATTAATAAAAAATGTTGGATCAGAAATAATGCCAAAAGTAACAATTTCAGAGGTAACTACAGCATTGGAAAACATGAAGAGAAATAAAGCTGTAGGAGAAGATAGTATTACCACAGATATGATATTAGAAGGAGGTAAGGAACTAATTGCAATTGTAACTAAGCTTGTGGACAGTTGTTTACATCAGAGCAAAGTCCCTTATCGTGGAAGACCACCTACCAGATGGACGGACGACATTAAAAGAATAGTGACAAACTGGATCGCAGCTGCACAGGACAGAGAAGAGTGGAGACATCTTGAGGAGGCCTATGTTCGACAGTGGACAAATTTGGCTGTGTGATGATGATGAAAGTCCCTAAGAGCTGGAACAACTCTAAAGTAATCTTATTACACAAGAGAGGTGATAGTCGAAAATTGGAAAACTACAGACCCATCAGCCTACTGTCACACCTGTGTAAAATACTCACCAAAGTCATAACTACTCGACTAACAAGGAAATTAGACGTATACCAACCATATGAACAGGCAGGTTTTAGAAAAGGCTATTCAACTTCCGATCACCTGTTAACCACAAAAATATTAATAGAAAAATGTAACGAATACAAGTTTCCAGTTTTCCTGGCATTTGTAGACTACGAAAAAGCTTTCGATATCATAGAACACACGGCCGTAATAAACGCAATGCAAAATTGTAGAATAGACAGCAGATATATTAACTTAATAAAAGAAACTATGAACCAAGCTACAGCTACATACTACCTAAATGAAAATGAACACACGAACCCTGTACTATTAAACAGGGGAGTCAAACAGGGAGATACTTTATCACCCAAACTGTTCACCTTAGTTTTGGAGGACGTTTTTAAAAACCTAAATTGGAAATATAAGGGAATAAACATCAATGGCCGCTACCTCAGTAATCTACGATTTGCAGATGACATAATGATTATAGCTACTGACCTACAAGAAATGCAAACCATGCTTTTAGAACTACATACCGAATCTTCTAAAACAGGACTGAAAATAAATTTAAACAAAACAAAAGTCATGCACTCCGAAGACACCGTGACAATAATAAACGATAAAGTTATAGAAAAAGTTGAAGAATATATATATATACTTAGGACAAAAAATAATACTAAATAGGGAAATTCAAACTGAAGAAATAAAAAGAAGAAGAAAGTTAGCTTGGGCAGCATTCGGTAAACTGAACTACATACTCAGAAATCAACAAACTCAATTACATCTTAGATCTAAAGTTTTTGATGCATGCATTATTCCGATATTAACTTATGCGGCACAAACATGGACAATCACAAAAAAGAATATGAATATACTTAGAGTCACTCAACACGCGATGGAAAGAGCAATGCTGGGTACATCACTTAAGGACAAGAAAACAAACACATGGATAAGACAGAAAACCAAAGTCACCATTGTGGTGCAAAAATCATTAAAGTTGAAATGGGAATACGCTGGACATGAAGCTAGGAACGATCTAAACAAATGGCACAGATCAATTTTAACCTGGAGACCATACCAACACAAAAAACCCAGAGGCAGATCTCCTATGAGATCGACAGATGATCTGAAAAGGACTGCCGGGAAAAATTGGCTACAAGTAGCGTACAATAAAAAACAATGGAAGAGAAGACTTGAAGAGGCTTATGTTCAGATGTGGACGTGAATGGCTAGACGAAGAAGAAGAAGACTAAAAAGGACAGAGTAAAGTTGGGATTATGCACTCGAAAGTAGATATTCAGAAACCCCTTTAGAAAAATTATTAGCTCCTTAGAAGGCCCCAGAGGTTCTCCACAACAAAAAATGTGTTTTTTCGAAGAAAAAAAAATAGCCCAAACAATAGAAACTCCGTAGCGACCAATCGATGGAAGTAATTTGGCATTTTATAGATCTCATAAAAAAAGCAAAAATCGCGCAACGTTTATTTTATATACATATAAAATTAAACAGCATTATAGAAACTGACTTAATTTTCGGCAAAATCCAAAATTTAAATACGAAAGCAACACTCTACACCTTTAAAACCCATTTTAATTTTTGTCGATAGGACACTCTCGATCAAAAGATACCGAATTTGTACCGTCGAGTTGATACATATTTTATTTAAAAAAAATTTCACGCGCGTAACTGGCACTCAATATCGACAGTATTCTTTGTTCAAAATTACCTCAGAAATATTTCTTAGTATCCAATAAACATTCAACCAAAAAATAAATACTGCAGAAGTTTATTTTGAACCACTGATACTATTTATTATGAGACGATCTTTTATGGAAAATATTGATAAATACATTGAAGAAAATGGTGGACACTTAGTTTCACAAAAAGATTTAATGTTATTTAGTTCACATATTTCTTAATTTGGTTTGTAAATAAAATGTATTTTATTTTGACTTTAATTTAATATAAAACCTAAATTGTCAAATTATATAACACTTTACTAATTATCCTACTGATGTATGTAAAAAATATTAATGTATATTACTTTTCCTTTAATATACCCAAGAATTACAGCCCTGAAGTTGATAAACAACTAAAAAAAAATAATATTAAGCGATTTAACTTGCTCAATGAGAAATGTAATAAAAATACACACCAAACAAAAGAAGACATAACATTTAGAGTTGTGCTTCGTAATATGCATCACAAAAATGATTTAAATGATGAGTTAGAAAAAATGGAAAACGAAGTATCTAACACAGCTATTATATACAAAAATGGATCCAAAACTGCTCTTCCACTTTTTTATGTAGAAGTATGTACTTATGTATATTATATTAAACCGTAAGTTCTCCCGCAAAAATATTAATTTTTGGCAATTCTCGGAAAACATTGTAATTGTACGAACCAATAATTAATCTTCTCTCGAGATTTGATAAATTTAAATTAATTACTTGTGAATAAATAAATTTTCATTTATCCAGTCAATGTGAAATAAAAGTGAGCTCTAAGTGAAGTGAAAATGTTTAGAACAGAAAACAAACCAGGATCAAGTGATTTTCAGTACCCTACAGTGCAGTTTTCAACACTAATGCAGACCGAGCCTACAAACCTAATACATCCGTATTACCAAGTAAGTGAAATAAATACTCAAGTTCCACCATTGTGCTCAAATCAACCAACAGTAAACCAAATGATACCTTTTAATAATTATCAACAACAATATCAGCATGAAAGTCATATAATACCTATCCACAAGAAGGGAGAGAATATCGTTAGTCAATACAACATACAAAATTTTATCCACAATATTGTTTAGAAGACTAACTCCATACGCACAGGAAATAATAGGTGACTATCAAAGTGGATTCAGGTCATGGTCGACCATAGACCAGATCTTCGTCCTAGGCCAAGTGTTGGAAAAAAACTGGGAATTCAATCGCGACGTACACCAAATATTCGTGGACTTTAAACAAGCCTACGATTCTGTTAGTAGAGAGGCATTGTGGAAGACCATATTAGAATTAGGAGTACCTGGAAAGCTGGTACGATTAGCACAGGTGAGCACGGAGAACGCTTCTGCATGGATCAGAATTGGCAACACCACGTCGGAGGAATTCCACATTGACACCGGGCTTAGACAAGGAGATCCTCTCGCTCCCCTGCTGTTTAACTTCGCACTGGAGCATGCAGTAAGGAAAGCTCAGCCACAATTGACAAACGGATTTGCCGCACAAGGATCAAAAATACTATTGGCCTTTGCGGATGACGTGGACACAATAGCACAATCCACCAGAGCTGCAAAAGAAGTGTTCACCCTATTCGAGACCGGAGCCAAGGAAATTGGTCTTAAGGTAAACGAGGATAAGACCAAGTACATGGTAGTTACGAAGAAAAGTTACTTATTTATCTAACAGATCATATACATATATATATATATATATATATATATATATATATATATATATATATATATATAATATAAATCAGATTTCCCTATGTCTGTAGTGAATGCGGTCTAGCATTTACTCATATCTAGTAAATTAGCTTGTATCATAACATCATCTAACAGACAGAAACTTTTCAAAACGCACTGTTTACTTAAAAAAACGTCAAAATGACAAAGAACACGGCTACCATTAACAAATCTAATATTAAACATCGTGATTTAATAAAGTTCAGTGAAAATACTTACATTCAACTAGCATAGTCATTGAAGACATGTAGGAAACCATATTGGTAAAATTCTTAGATGTTAATATAAAAAAAAATAAACAAAAAAAATAGTGGTATTATATCATAATGTGCTCACCTTTTCCTATAATATACCCAGATGCAACCATTGTAGCTGCTAATGGCATCAGTAATAATCCAGCTCTAGCCGCTTTGTTTAAAAATCCTACAAAACAGATACCGGTAACATAGTCACCGTCAATTTCCCCTATGGCCATGGTGGTTATAGTCAGGATCAAAGGGAAACTCCATGCTACTAGATGGAAATAGGCTCTTTTTCTGTCTACTCTATCCTGTATTTTACCTATAACATACAAATAACACAGTTTCAGGACTTTTGGTCACGTTGTAACATTTTTAATTTTTTTTATTTTAGTTTCCAACATACGGCACTACTGAGTGCCCATGTCGCTTGGCAATCTTTGTTTACTGAAAGTCCGACGTATTTTCGAGCTGGTACCGAAGCCGAAGACAAATGCAGCACTTCTTCGTATGTTGGTTAGGGAACAAGACGTGTATACTTTGGTATTTTTTTTATTTATATAACAAGCATATATCTTAAGAAATATATAGTCGTAATAATATATCAAACTCAGAGCTAAATACAAATTTATTCTTATGTGATTGCTATAAACCTGCCGAGATTTGGTGTAAGTGTAGAGACACTGTTTGAATTTTCAAGAGGCAGACCATCAAAAACTGTAAGTTGTTACTGCTGTATATTACCTAGAAAAGCTTGAGAGTTGCTGGAGCTTTGGCAAATTCAATATCATATCTTTGTCCACCAGTTTAATTACTATTAAATATAGTCCTACCAGAGATCTAAGAGAGTCATTCATATTTATTATCGATCAGTGTCTACCGCAAGGCAGCGGGGGATTGCCTCTGAACAGGATCGTAGTTTTATTTTCGATTTGTATTACTTATTCGAATAATGCTAATAAAAATAGACAGCAAACCAGTCAATATGAATATTATCCAGGTATATGCCCCAACTAGTCAAAGCACAGAAGAAGAAATAGAACAATTCTACGAAGACATAAACAAATCTCTACTGCAGACAAAGAAGCATGAAACCAACATAATATTAGGAGATTTTAACGCCAAGATTGGAAAAGGAAGAGAAGATGACACGGTGGGGGAGTTTGGCCTCGGAATAAGAAATGAGAGGGAGATAGACTGCTTCAGTTCTGTAAAGAAAGTCAGTACAGTATAATGAACAGCTTTTTCAAGTTACCACCCAGACGTCTCTACACGTGGAAATCTCCAGCAGATCGAATAGAAGGACGCATCACAAGAAATCAAATCGATTACATAATGGTCAACAAAAGATACAAAAACGCAGTAAAAGCATGCAAGACATACCCCGGAGCTGACATCCCCACCGACCACAATCTTCTTCTTGCAACAATTAGGATAGAATTTAAAAGAACAAAAAGAAATAAGCAAATAATAGCTATTAACCTAGATAAGCTTAAAGAAGAATCCACTAGTAATAAAATACGGGAAGAAATACATAGACACTTGAGTAACAGAACAGTACAATCGACACAAACTCCCGAGGAAGAATGGCACTATATTGAGAAAACACTTACAAGAGTAACAGAAGACTACCTCAAACAAGGTACACGAAAAAAGAACAAATCATGGATGACAGAAGAAATTCTAAACATGATGGACGAAAGAAGAAAATACAGAGGTAAAAATGAAACAATATACAAGCAAATACCAAAGTGAAAGATGCCAAGAAATTGAAGAGTTGGAACAAAGATATGATACTTTCAATCTACATAAAAAAGTAAAAGAAGCCGCTGGAATATTTAAACAAACTCCTACGTCTTTCATCGAAGATAAACATGGGAACCCGCTACTGAACATAGAAGATCAAATAGGTAGATAGAGAGAATACGTGGAAGAGATGTTTCAAGACCGAGAGAGGACGAACATTTACATGCAGGAGGCATCGACTGGACCTTATATCACAAAGCAAGAAATTATCAAAGCGGCAAATCAGTTAAAGAACGGAAAAGCTGTTGGGGAAGATAATATCCCAATTGAAATAATAAAGATATTACTAGACGAACACATCGAAGTAATGGAAGATATAATTAACAAAATATACGAAACAGGCATAATACCAAATGATTGGCTGACATCGGTGTTTATACCACTACCAAAGAAGAGAAACTCCAAGAAATGTGAAGACCATAGGATTATTAGCCTGATGAATCATATGTTGAAGCTTTTCCTACGAGTAATACACAATAGAGTATACAATAAACTAGACGAACATACTGGTCAAACTCAGTTTGGTTTTAAGAATGGGTTCGGAACAAGAGAAGCACTTTTTTCAATACGTGTGCTAGTTGAAAGATGTAGAGATGTCGATTCTGATGTATACTTGTGTTTTATAGACTTTCAGAAGGCGTTTGACCTGGTGAAACATGATAAACTAATAGATATTTTAAGGTCATGTAATATCGACGATAAAGACTTAAGGATCATTTCAAACCTCTACCAAGAACAAAAGGCTAAAATCAGAATAAAAAGCGAAACATCTGGAAAAATCAATATCGAGAAGGGAGTAAGACAGGGATGTGTCCTATCACCTTTGCTGTTCAATGTTTACTCTGGAAGATATTTCAGAAAGCTTTGGAAGGCACCTCGGATGGTATAATTATAAACGGGCAATGTATAAATAACCTGCGATATGCTGATGACACTGTCATACTGGCAGATAATGCTGAAGCCCTGCAACGCTTAATGGACCGAGTAACGACAGCCTGTAGAGAATTTGGAATGAAATTGAATACAAAGAAGACAAAAACGATGGTCATCAGCAAGCACCAAAACAGAAGGGTGAAGGTCAATGTCGACGGAACAGATCTGGAAAGAGTAACAAGAACAACGTACCTTGGAAGTAATCTTGATGAAACTTGGGACCACTCACTAGAGATAAGAATACGCCTGGAAAAGGCACGTACAATGTTTTACAAAATGCAAAAAGTTCTATGCAACCGCCAGCTGGGCATCTCATTGAGAACTAGAATACTTAAGTGCTATGTTTTCTCCACCTTGCTCTATGGTGTTGAAGCCTGGACAATGACAGAAGCAACACAAAAAAGAATCCAAGCATTCGAACTCTGGTGTTACCGTAAAATGCTCAGAATATCCTACATGAGCCATACGACAAATGCGGAAGTCTTGCGGAGGATGAATAAGGAAAGAGAGCTTATGCTTATAATAAAAGAACGGAAAACACAATATTTTGGTCACATCATAAGAAATCAAAAGTATGAACTGCTCCAACTTATAATCGAAGGCAAAGTCAATAGCAAAAGAGGACCAGGAAGAAGACGCAACTCTTGGCTTAAAAACCTACGGCAATGGACGAACATGACCTCCATAGAACTATTCAGGGCTGCTACAAATAAGATTAAATGGGCAAATGTAATGGCCAACGTCCTTAAGGATAAGGCACCGTAAGAAGAAGATTCGATTGTTAGGTATGTTTAAAAGTTGCTGTTGATCATTTTCTACTAAAGATATAATAGTTGCAAAAATATTTACATACACGACATTCACATATTTACAAAACTTTATCATTTATAAATATAGTACAAAACGAACAGATCGAAAAATATTTTAGAAAATTATTTTCAAAATTAAGACGTGTCTAAAAGTTGGTTTAATACCGTTATCAACTAAATTTAAAAATATTTACATAAATTACGTATACATAGAAAGTTTACCATTTATAAATACAATTCAAAAAGTACTTACATTTAAAAAAAATTACATGGACAAATCAGTTTCACTATCACTGTCTTTATCTAGATATAATAATGTTGGATAATCATACAATGTTTATTAGATTGCTTCCATCAGGAGTTCCATATAGCGGAACTCTAGGTGTACTTTACCCTCTGCATAGTGTTGATTAACTGAAATTCACTGGATACTCATAATTACTTTATTGGTTCTCTAAGTAAAATAATAGAGAGAGTACCCAGTTGACGGATGACAACACTAGTACTAGTAGTAGTTACACCGATATTTTCAATGTCATAAACAAACAATCGCATTGAGCAATAAGCAATAATTAACATTATTAAAAGGATTTAAATTTTTGAACTGAATTGGGTTACTTAGATCTGATTTCTGGGTGCTTAATTAAATTCCGTTACATAGATCTATAATAATTGTTTCTTTGAGCTTTGAGCAACCTATCTGTATTTTTTCAGCTGCCATTAGTTATTTTCTCCATTTCTAATTGAATTAGACGAACCACAGATGAATTTAGGGTAAGCGAAACATTACTTCTCCTTACTGATGCTTTTAGTTCATGCCATTTGTGTTCAATAGGATTGAACATGCAATAGTAAACACTGTTTCCAAAAATAATTTTCTTTTCATAAATTCCATTTCGGGCGTTAAATTTTATGTATTACAATATATTTCTTTATCTCATTGTTCAATCAAAAATACAAATTTCAGAACCTGATAATAATTTAATGCGGTGAAAAAGAAAAGACGATGTTTAGGAAACTAGACTGGAGTGATGTGAACACCATTAGAAGAAAAATTGATAACATGTATGAATGAAGAACAGATGGTCCCCATATTAAAAACCATCATGCAAAAGTTGCAGAAAGATGACACAGAAATCAAGTGCTGCAGTGAGACAGTAAGACAATGTCTTCTAAAAAATGCTTTAAAATAAAAACGATCGATAAACGTCTCAAGTGATTATGGAATCTGCTCGTCTACAAATATGGAGGACGTTTGCATCATCGAGTAGACTGTACGTGACGACCGACGCATAGGGCATCTCGCGCTTACACAAAGTTTCTAATGTATTACATAATTTCAAGCAAAAACAAAAAATTATTTTATACCTAATGCTTTAGCCTTGTCATGCAAAATCATTAAAGAATCCCGTGTCGACTATCATGATGACACCACAGGTGTCATCAACAACTTAGAATCCAGTAATATATGCTGGAAAATGATATGTATTATGAATATAATTATTCTAAAAAACAATTACTTGAAACTTCAAAATCATTTTCCATCACAAAACAATATTATTGCAACAGTTTGGCGGAAGAATGGGTCATACAGTATTAAGACTTCCTCCTTACTATTGCATGTTCAAACCGATTGAACACATTGGCATGAGCTAAAAGCATAGGTAAGGAGAAGTAATGTTTCGCCCACCCTAAATTCATCTGTGGTTCGTCTAATTGAATTAGAAATGGAGAAAATAGCCAATGACAGCTGGAAAAATACTGTTGCCCAAAG